ATCCATGACTGAGGATCAACATTTGAGAAAACTAATTCATGCAAGGGACAAAGAAAGCATCTAGTTCACACTTTTCAAAGTAAACTGTATTACTGCACACAGACAGGGCAATGCTTGTAGGAAAAAGACAACAAATAAAACACTAAACAGCAGAAACGCAACAGAAAAGATAATAAAAACTTCAAACTGAAAAGGTGAAAGTGTCTTACTTCTTCATCTCAGCCTCTTTTTGGCGTCGTTGTCGGTCTTGAATGTAGGCCGTAGGGTCAAACCGATGCACTCGTGACCCTGTCATGAGAGAACACAAGACTTGAATCAAATCAAAAGTCTATAAACAGGGCCTCTGCCTTTGTTTCTTGACTTTGACCATAAAGATATTGTGTTTATCTTCACACATTTCACCTGTTGGAGATGGCGAGGGTCTCGTGATGTAATTCCGAGACCCTGAAGAGGGCCTCCTAATTCTCTCATCTGACCTCCGAGCCCTGTCCTCCATCCTCTCCCTCGACCCAGAGCGTGCTCTTACCCCCACACGGGTCAAACTGCGCTCTCTGGATAAAGACCGATGAACCTCCCCATCACCTCTAAGCCCGCTTCGGCCAGACATGACTGGAGTTGCTCGACTGTCAAAATAGGAAGAATGAGTTGATTAACATGTGCTCCAAAAATGTTAATAAATGCACAAAAAAAAAAAAATGACACAGATGGCAGTTAATTAAGCTTACCCGCGTCGTAACAAGGCCAGCTCAGTGGTCAGACTTTTAACACGTATCCGTAGAGCCCGTTCTGATGCCCTGAGTTCCTCCAGCTACCAACAAGAGTGAATTTCAACATTTAAGTGGGTGCTAATACTATGCATGAGTGCTTTACATTGTCAGCTTGTCATCTCATGACCATATAACACTAATCTGCTTAGAGTCACCTGTTCTAGAACGAGGAGCTGTTCCTGGCTCCTCTTGCTTGCAGAGCGCTGGCTTTTTGCCCTTTCCTTCAGCAGCTGTTCCTCCAGGCTGTGCACTGCCTCTCTGAGCCCACGGGCCCCAGGAGCAGAACCAGCCCCCACCATCTGTTGACGATCCAGAGCCTTGGCCAAGGCTTCCTTTTCATCTCTCACCAAAGCCAACCTGATGAAGGGGACATTAAACAGAAGGAAAAAGACTTAAACACAACATTCTCTTTTTACTCACTGTGGGTAAAATGTTTTTGTTACTTTACGAATCCTGCAAGTCTAATTGGTAGAATATTGTGTCAAAGTATGCAAATTTTTACAGATTAATTTACTGAATTAAAAGGTTCAGTTTCCCTTTAGTTTATTTTTATTCTGTTATTTGTAACATTAATTTCGAAGTAATTCAACTCAGTACAATGCAAATCCTTATTTTAACAGCAATGTTTTAAAATTCTTTAAAGGGATAGTTCATCCAAAAATTTAAATTCTGTAATCATTTACTCATGTCATTACAAACCTGTATTATTTTCTTTCTTCTGTGGAACACAAAATAAAATTGAGAAATGTTTTTTTTTGTCCAAACAATTAAAGCCAAAAATGGTTTGGTTACCAATGCTCTTTAAAATACTTAACTTTATGTTACACAGAAGTCAGTCAGTCCTACAGGAATGAAACGAGAAATGATGACAATTTTATTTTTGGGTGAACTATCACTTTGAGGCCTTTGACAGATACACTGCTATTTAATAAAGATTTTTCAAGCTACAGCAATGTACAGGATTTTTCTTTCTTCTATTGTGCAGACTGTGCCCTGTGCACCTGCCAGCAACTAACCAGGTGTGCAAAAGGTGTGTGTGCTTTTTTCCCCCCCTGAAAGCATGATAAAACCACTAAGTACATATTTCATTAGAAAATAACTGACTCTGCACGGAGCTTGCGTGTTTCCTGGTCTGATACTTTGTGGTCTCCTCTCAGTCCCAGTGTTTTCAGCTCGGCCCTCAGAGCTCGGATCTCTCTTTGAAGCTCTGCAGGATCAGGTTTGCCAAGATATGGAAGTGGAAGAGGATAGTGTATCCTACAAAAATAGAACTTTTAAAAAACTGGCCTCTTAAGAGCAGATTAAAACAGACTGAGTGATCAAAACTCCACAGACCTGTCAAACTCCACAGTGTAGATGAGGATGAGGTATCGTTTAGCACTGAGGGCAGGAGACTGTGGCTGAGCACGAGGTCGGCCAACTACACCTGCCTTTCTGTTCCGCAGAAGCTCGAGGTCAGAATAGGTCAAGAGGTCAAGGGTCACTGATTCACTGGACTGCAAAAGAAAATGAAGAGAGTAAATAAGATTTTTTTCTTTTTTCAAAAATGTGATTATTCACATAAAAGTCTGGTTAATCCCTTTGTAGACATTTTTTTCTTGTCAATAAATCAAGTGCATAATAAGCCAAATTAATCAAAATAAAACTGAAACAGCAAATTAACTTTAAAATAAAAATAAATAAAGACAAATCTAAATAAAGATAAATAAAATGCAGTGCATATCTGTTGCTTACGTTGTTGTGAACTGTTAATTTGCATATAGTACAGGAACTGTAGATCGGATTGATATCCTTTTCGCGGAGACACATTTATGTGGCCAAGTGTAAATGTACAAGTTTTAACAAATCACACAGCTATACGATTAGTAAACACACATGAAGTGACCAGGTGTAAACAGGCCCTCATAACATACATTTGAGAACACAAACAACGCTACTCCCAAACTTGTAATGAGAACTTGAGATGCTCTTATAAACCAACTGTTGTCAACAAAAGAGAAGCTTTTCTTTGTCTGAAAATGAAGAAATTAAGACAGTTAAATTAAATTTGAGTACTGGAATTTTACAGCTGTAAAAAATAATAATTCTTCCTAAATAGTATTGCTTTCATTGTACAGAGAAATATTACAACAGTAATTTTTCAATATAGGAATAATAATAAGAAGAATAAAAAAACAACAATAATTATTCTTAATATTTTATAGTTATATTGATGTATAATAGCAAGGCAAATTGTGCAAATTATGCAGCTACACAAAGAAGTACAAAAAAAAAATCTGGATTTAAAAATAAATAAGAAAATAAATCACAATCGTTGTTGTTTTTTTTACCCCAAAATGTCCAGCCATAGTGCATTTATTGTCTTGACCAGCTTTAAGAATCAAGACGCCATAATAAATAGGATTTTTATGGCTTTTATTCTTTGGACCCACCATGTTGACAGCAGACTCAAGCATACTGCAGAATACTGGAAACTGTTTAAAATTCCCAGTTTTCCGGGTCAGGTCCTCAATATCTAATGATAATAATAAAAAAAAGGTTGTAATGACATAAAACAACATTTCATGTAAGCAAAAACTAAATATCAGTTTTAAAAGCTCAACTTACAGGCTGGATCGAACTCTCCTCTCCACTGGTCCGCTGTAACGACATCTGAAATCTCTACGATTAGTAACCGCTCCGCCAGCTCGACATTGACGGCAAATTCAGCACCCCGAAATTTCATTTCTTCCTGCACAACTTTGCCAACCTCCATTGCTTGCCACTGACAGCCTGAAGGAATCATTGCACAGGGTTCAATAACAGAGTCATTGCAGTTCATGCTGTAATCAGCATTTCTTGATCACAGCCATGTTACACATAGACAGACAAATAGACAACTACTGTATATAGAAATATACAGACATACTTTGTATCATAACACAGCTCATATGTATAGAGAACAATCATATCGTTATCAGATCAAAACAGTAATTTTAACCAGACAGTTTTCATTCTGAAGGTTTGCAGTGATTGCTTTATGTTGTTCATGTCTAACACACACCGAGCTGTGATGTCCATTACAAATGTCAGCTTCTTCACAGCCAGGATTTGGGTCATGAACCATTTCAATGAATGAGACTGATTTACACTTCACTGAATTTCTTTGTATCTTAGATAAATAGAGGTTGTAACCTCGTTTATTCACGAATCAGTATGCAACACAAGTTCTTCTCAGCATGTCAGCTAAAAACTGATGAAGAACTTGCTAACCTTGAAGATGTGCCAAAAGACTGCCAACGCTAGTCACACAATAACACTATAAAATAAATCGCATGAATAATAAAGACATCACACATCGTGGTTTTGAAGGCTACAGAGGAAGATGGGAATACAGAGGATGAGAAATGTGCGTAAGTTACTGTTATGATAGATGAATCTCAGACCATACACAACTAACGTTAGCACGCTAGCAACATACCAGTTATTGGTGGAAATGTGTTGGGCAGGCACAAGCTGTTCGATTAAAACTCTACATTTAAAGCGTCGAAGAAATAACTAACAAAAACAGAAAACAGATTAAAAGCTATTCTATGTTAATTTATCAAAAGCATGTTCAGTAAACGGGTCGCTACTGAGCTCGCCTCGAACAACTGAAAACAGCGGCTCAATGACCGGGAAGTTAAAACTCCCGCCCACAACTGTTTACATTGGTCAACTCGTGTAGATGTTGATGTTCTGTTGACTGTTCTGCCTGTCAATCAAAAGGAAAGCTTTTCATTGTTGCAACGCCCCGTAGGCAACCCTTCACGCCCATAAAAGTGATTTTTAGGAGCATCAGTTTAAGGATTTCTCATTCAATTTATATATTTTACCATGTCAAGCATTCGTTGAAATTTGAATATTACGTTGACACATACCACCCTTTTTGTGAAGTTTTGTATGAAACTATCCGACATTTATTTTGTTATTAGCCTACTTCAGTTTATTTGGAGTGCTTTGATTGTCCAGAATGTTTCATCTTACTTTTCTTTATCTTATAGGCATAGATTCTTTTTGGTCTTTATATTAATCACAAAAATTTGGAATCATAATCAAATATTTTGTTTGCTGGAAAGTATACAATTAATTGAATGAATTCGTACATGATGTGAATACGTGTAAACCACACTTTAATGTCTTTAAGCATAAACTGAATTTGTATTTAGGTACAATCTCTCGTCTATTAATAAGACAGCGACCAAAACATCTAGATATGTATACGTTTGACATTTTTTATGTATAAGTTTTCCTCATAGTCTTTATATTCCATCGAAGTCTTTAATTAGGCCACAAGAGGGAACTATTGCTCTACTGAAGCATAATGCTAGCAACATCAAGGTCATGGGTTGGATTCACCGGGGTCACACATGTTGAGAGTATGTGCCAAATAGATAAATGTAAATAAATATTATAGCGAAATACAATGCAGATATACAGAGGCAGTTCTAAACAAGGTCACAGCTTCTTTTTTTTTCATCACAGTATTTTAAAAAACAGCATTTTTACTACTCATTTTACAAGAGTTGGGAGTGTTGAAAAAAATAGTACATTTATAAATAACATGAATTCACTGGCGTTTACATTGGCGTAATTCGCATATACATGGTGAGCGTTACATAGCACGACACTGAGGTCTATCTACGGGACCTATACATTTGTACGACATGCTGATTGGGGCTTGTAGCTCTCTGAGTCTTTAACAACAAGATTATTCTGAACAAAGTTAGGGGCTGGGAGGTAAGCATCCTGCATTTCCAGTGTAAGATCAGATATCTGAGCAACATCAACTGGTTCTGGCATGGTCAAATTATAAGAAGCGTTTTCAAGAATTGAGGTAAGCTTCTCAACAGGATAATATGAGACATCAACTGGAGATTCAGAAATGTTCAGGTAGAAATTTCCAGGAATCACTTTGGAGTTAGAGCTGATGAGGTCAAGGCCATGTAGACTTTCTGACATCGCAGGATGCTCTAAACTGTGGACCTCTTGGATCTCACACTTCATATACCCCTCGGTCATCTGGGTACAATAAATGCCCTGCAAACAACAAACATTTGTTGACCAGTTAACTGGTTTGCCACAGATTATACAATTTGCTAACACTGTAGCAAAATATTATTTAGCCTATTTATTAAGCCAATAATTTACCACACAAAATAAGTCATAACTTATTTGATCTTGCATAGCTTTTGAGCATGCCATGCAACTTTTCCATATTGAAATCTGCCTAATTTGATCATTTTATCAAGTGACAGATTAATTTGCACACATCCTTTAACGTCAACTACAAAAATATTTGGTAACTATTTCCCTTCTCTTTTAAAATCGATAACCATATTTATTTTTGCTATGTTTACTGTGACCAAGTATATGGTTTGTTGCATTTTACTGTTAGGATTTAACATAGTTGATTCCCACTTGTCTGAGAAACGATGAGAACACACCTGCGACCCATTTTTGGCTTGTGATACACACACATACATACATGCAGATTATACTTATTAAAAAAAAACAAATTTTAGGAACGTTAGAAATTATAAGGAGGCTGAATAAGCACTGATGACTCACCTTTGTAATCCATTTCCCTGCAAGTTTTGGTTCAGGAATATCTGGATACAATAGTTTCTTTAACCTGAAGGATTTTAAGAGTGAAAATTTCTAGAAAATATTGGGGTTTGAAAAACATATATGACATAACACAGGAAAATTGTCCTTACCATTTCCATTTCCTGTAGCAAAGGACTGTGATGATAATGAAGACAAGTGCTGCTGCACTGCAACCCACAATAGTGGCCGCAATCATCTGGTCAACTATGAAAATTTTGTCACATTGCACACAATATTATCATTGTGTGCAATGCTATATTCATCAATGCTATTTATATTTGCTTATTAAATATAATAAAGTAGTTCAATCATTAATCTTTCAATTATAATTCATTATATTTAATATTATAATTATATACAAAATATATAATTAAATATCTTCATACATACAGTTTTTTTCCACGTCCATTCTGAATGTAGCGTAGTCACCTTCACCCTCACCTCCAGATGTAAAGGCACTAACGCGGAAGGTATAGGAGCCTGGATCTAATTTCAAATGAACTTTATGCTCTAAAATTAAAACACAAAGTATGTCCATTTGTAATGTAATCTTTACACTAAGAAAAAACAGTGGACGTCAAATTAGAGAATGAACCCACTCTTTGTCACTGTCGTGTTAATAACTGTTTCAGAATCAGAAAGCAATGTTGTGACATTGTAGCCTTGTATGAAGCCTTTTTGCAGGTCTAAGGGCACTTCGTCCCAGGAAAGCTCAAGATTTCTTCCATTGCTTTTAACTGTCAGATTCTGAACTTTCCCTGGTTCTGTGAACAGAAATAGCAGAATGGACAATAAGAAAGACGAGGTGAGGTTAACATGAAACAAATGTTCTTTTTTTTTTTGTGAGCTATTCCTTTAAATATTGAATCTTGACTGCTTACTTTGCTCAATAGCATAACACTGACTCCTCTTGAGAAGCTTTGGTGCATCATTAGTGCAGGCATAGACCGAGACAGTGTATCTCACTGCCTCAAAAATACCTGTGAGAAATAGAACAATTGAAATATTTTGTTCAAAATAGCAGTCATCCTCCCTTTCTGAACATAACCACAGCTCACTGAACCACTGATGGACCATTACACACATGCACAAATTCAATATCAGAACAAAAACAGATCAGAAGTGAGTCAAATGATTCATCTTTAAGCTCCCAACTGACCAGACCGATTCCAGGTGTCACAGGCGTCACTGTCACATTCTGAGATCTTCTCCCATTCTACATCACATTGCTTCTTATTGTAGGTTGGAAACCATTCAACAACATAGCCACAAGTAGAATAGGGGTATTCTTCCCAAGACATTTCAAAGCCACTATTACTGCTATTGATATGGCTTATACTGACTTCGTTGTCTGTGAAAAGTATTATAAAACATCATTAATTTAATCACAACCTTTTCAACCCGTTTAAACAGCATTTGAATATACTTTAAATGCTCACCAGGATTACTCGGGACGATGATGGTAGAAGGAGGAGAAAGACCAGCAGAGTTTTTCGCTGAGACTGTGATGATTTGATCACTTGTTTCATTCCCAAAGGTGATTTTGTAGCACAGCTGCGTATTTAGTCCTATGTCAATTTTTCTGCTCCTTCCTTTGGGGTTTCCAATGGTAATTTCATATCCTGTAATTATCCCATGGCTTTGTTGTTGAGTTAGAGGCTTTAAAACATTAAAAAGGGTCATTTTTATCTGTTTGACTGCAGCTGCAAAGTGCAGAGAAAAGCTAAAAATAGCAGTGCCAAATCCTACTGCACTTACCTTCCACAGGACATATGTATTTTGTTCAAAATATTGAATCCAAACATCCACTGCTTCTGGAACTGAAGAGAGATCATTAGTGTGACACAATAAATTGCTCGAATTTGACTGGCAGTTGCTGAATCATTTTTACTCATCTGATTAGTTCAGAAACATTAATTCATTCAGAAAGAGAACTGTGTGTTAGTCTGAAACGTAGTGTTTGATATTTCTGTGGCTTCCGTTAAAACTATGTACAGTACATCGACAGAGAAAAAAAATAGACACAGTAAAATGTAAGTTGTGTGAACATTATAAGTTACTCAGTATTAACTTCTTGTCCAACAGATTTTTTAAACACAGAAGTAAGCTATTTTCTATGAATGTGTGGGACTTCCGATTCATTAGCTGCTATAGGTAAATAACTACAAGAATAAGTGCAGCACCTGTAGTTCTTACAATAAGGTGGATATATGAAAGTGTTGTATAAAAGCAATATCACACTCAAAAAATATACATATATAAAAATAAAATCATATATATATATATATATATATATATATATATATATATATATAAATTACAACACGCTTGTGAGGGGTAGTG